AGCAGGATTGTCATTGCAGTTCATTATGTATGTGTCAGGGTGTTACTTGACATCATTCATTGTGACTGATCTTGGATCATCTACATTGCTGGAAGATGTCACTGGATTTACACGTAGGGCTTTTTGTTTTTCCTTTTTTTTTCTTTCAATAAATTACTTTTTCAAAAATGTGAGTGTGCTTGTATACCACATTTTTTGTGAATTTGTATTCAGGAATATTATGTACTCATTACTCATGCAGGATAAGATCTAGTATTGTTTTCTTGGGAAGCCACATGCTAAAAAAACTGAAAAAAGGTTGGGGTCTCCTTTAAAATTCATACCAGACCCTTAATGAAGCTGTGGGGCTGCCATTTGTGATGTAGTATTAGTGAGAGACGATTGCCATGGCAGCACTTGTCATGTATGCTTTGGTAAGTTTTGGGGGCATTAATATCATGGTTCTAGTATAGATGTATAGATATTTGAGGGGGCCACTCTCTGGCCACTTTGGTTACAAAGAGAACAAAGCCAGCCTGGAAATGTAAATTTAGTGGCAATAGACTTTTTTTTTCTATATGCCACTTTTGCTATAGTACATCCTACAGATGAACCATTTCATATTCAGGTTTTAGGCATCCCCCAAGCATGATATTTAACCCTTTTGCGCCGACATCACACAAATATGCGGCCCCACAGAAAAAAAAACAGTTCTGTGAGGCCGCATATTTGCCTACCTGTCTCTGTGGTGGAAGTGCGCCGCACAGCGTGCTCCTAGCACAAAGAGTGCGTTGTCACTGAGAGCCCCGGGTCCCGTTCTAACGATCGGGACCCCCTATTCCGTGTTACACGATTGCTGTGATAGCCTCTGATTGGCTATCATACCAATCAGTCACTGTAAAGCCCGGCCCCCTTGGATTTTCTCTCTATGAATGGAGGAGAGAGATACATTGTATCTCTCTAATATCTCTCTAACTCCTGGCATAGAGGAAAAAAAAAATGTTTTTGTTAAAAAAAAAAAAAAAAAAAAAAGATAAATATTAAAAATAAAAGAAAAAATAAAGAAAAAATACCTAGATCAAGGTTTGATCTAGTTCAGTGCCAGGGTAAGTGTTTGGGTCAAGGTCAGGGTCAAAGGTCAAGGTCAAATGCTCAGGGTCAAAGGTCAGGATTTTTTTTTTTTTTTAATTGGTATCAGTGTCAGTTAGTGTCAGTGTGCTTTGGGTAAAGAAAAAAAAAACAAAAACAAAATGCGCACTATTGTTTCTGGGCTGTACTGTCGGTACAAACAACAAATAACATACACATATATGATATTGATGCAATTGTCAAGAGCTGGAAAATTTATTTTGGGATGTTTTTGGTGGTAGGTTATGATAGTAACAAGAAACACACAGCTAAATAAAAAAAAAAAATTTTTTTTTTTTTTTACTATTTTGGCCAGTTTTCCTTTGATAATAAAAAAAATCAGGAGATATCCATTAACATTTACCACCAAATGAAAGCCCAGTTTGTCCTGAAAAAAAACAAGGTATAATTCACCTGGATGTACAAAGTAGTTGTGATGATATGTACAGTTTTACTAACACATGTCAATGTTGCAAAATTTTGCTTAGGCATTAAGATTTGTTTTACCCTTAGGTGTGAAGGGGTTAAGCAGCCTTTTAAGAAAGCAAACTGAATGATCTTACACATTTTTTTTTTAGCATTGGTACACGTCCTCCACGGCAGTGCCCAGTTATCTGTGGCCTTTAAAAAAAAAAAAAAAAAATTTCAAATTGGCACTGAAAAACACTAGGCTGCATCTTTTAAATAGAGAGTAGACCACCAGGATCATGTGACACACGTTTATGGAACCGTCACAGTTTATTTTTCAGAGTGAAGGTTTTTATTAGATGTACTGCATATTTCTCTCCTGCTCTATGTAAGTCTGTATTCTGGTGTCTTGTTTCTAAGAAGAAAAAATAATATGAACTACAGAATCTATAAGCACCATCTTTAATTTTGCCCTTTATGTGAGTCTATATGCACATCATGTATATACACTAAAGCAATAGTATAAGTAACTCTGCAAGCATGCACAATTCAATTCTCGATATGTCATAATACAACATCTTTTTTTTTTTTGTGAAAACATAATTCTTCAGTATTCAGCCAGGTGACAATGTCTAGAAAGTCTCTCAGTGTCTGCCTGATCACTCAGATGATATAGTGTAACTTTGTGGCAGCTAAAAAGATAAGTGGCTGCAGGAGGGAGGGCAATCTGAGTTATGTGTGTAGCGCTAACCCCATAGGAGCTGTTGTAATACTGTCCAGGTCTTCCCTTTCTTTGTCTTTCAGCTGGGCACAAGGAAGATGCACAGCCAAGTGCACACATACTTTCACTCCTTTTCTCCAATGATCAGTCTAGGGGTTGTTGTTTTTGAAGTTTTATTGTTGTAGAACTTGGATAGGGATGGGTAATTTAGTAGAATGCCCCAAGAATAGAACTAGTTACAGCTGAGTACAAAACTTCCTTAAGTAGCAGCCTTGAGCAAAGTCCCAATGTCAGAAAGGGGTTAAATGGTGAGTGCTTTTCAGGACACCAGTGAGTATCCTCTTTTTCAGACCCATGCTGACTATACAGCAACAGAGGGGTAGAAAAGCACACAGAGTCCCCGAAATCCCACAGTGTCTGTACTCACAAGGCCCAAGGACAGAATGGTAGCCTTCTTCAAATCTTCCAAGCAATGCCTTCCAAAGAATACCAGATAGATCTTTGGCACACAGCTCCCCTCAGTCAGTTTTCTGAAGAACCAAGGTCACTCTCTCTCTTACTTCAGCTCCAGGGGCAGACTGACCATTTGGAAACTCAGGCACTGCCTGAGGGCCCAGAGTCAGTAGGGGGCCCCACGAGATGCCCCTGGTACCTTTTCATAGGCTTTTTTGAGTTGGGGCAAGGACACAGGGGCCCCATGATCCCCTATTGCCCGGGGGCCCCATTGGTTGTCAGCCCGCCCCTGTTTAGCCCCTAAGGTCACCCACCTGAGACGGCATGGCAGAAAATGCCTGGGAAGGCAAAAAAATATATCCAAGAAACACCCAGGGCTCAGTGTGCCAAAAGAATAAATACCCTCTCTCAGCATCCTTTAGGGCTACACTCCATGGAATTGGTTGGAGTGACATTAATATTTATACTGTATCCTGCATGAGTTGCTCCTATCCATCCAGAACCTTCCCAGGTTACTTGGATACAGAGGAAGCCAGAGGCAGAACTAGTAGCACTTGAACACACTGATCAGGCATTACTAAACAATTGCAGTTTTCCTGTTAAGCAAAAGAACCAACTATGATCTACTTATCCTAGCATCTATCTAGGAGATGCTACATGTGTACACACAGCCAAGAACATACAAGTACATGTGGTTGCTCAAGCAAGGGGTTTACATGATTGTGTCATCTCTGGGGCAGCATCTAAGCCGTGTAAGTAGATGCTGACCCTTGATGATATCCAAACAAATATGTTGCCATCCTTCTGCAGAGAAAGGAATGTGAAGGTATTATCAGGGGGAGTACGATGATCCATTTGATTACTTAGAATTCATGCAGCTGACATGAAAATAAATCAATCTGATGATAGGTCTGCCCTTGGTGGTACTAAGGCTATTGGACTGGGTAAAACTGAGTCACGTTACTTTAAATTTAAAATGGCAAAGGGTAGTGTATATAAAATAAATGTTTAATTTACATGGCAGTCTGTAATAGAGACTTATTTAAATTTTTAAGCATTCAAGAAATAGAAAATAGGCAGGAACAAGTTTCAGAAGGGCTGATGTATCCAGGCAGACAGTGAGTCCTTTCTTCTGTTATGCAGATAAACAGGGCTGTGGATTCCCAATCAGTATCATTTATGCTAATCTGTTTTTAATTGACTATTTTGTCTGTGTCCATGCTAATCCTGATAAGCAATGAGTTGTGTGTGACACAGCTCATAGGTCCTGTTAGCGTGGCAGACTGTCCCTCCCACGGGACACACAGCGTGGCAGGATTATGGCGAACAGACATTTATATCAAGTCTCAGCTCAGTACGCTACACAAAGCCTTTTTCTGCCAGCCAATGCAAATACACTGTGTTACTATTTATTTAAACAGAAGTGTACACATTGCTGGGATAAGCAGTTATCCTGCAATCAGTGCACAACCCATATAGCATTCTTAAGCAAAACACAAAATGAGGGCCATTTACAATGATATGGTGTGATTACGCATTATGGTAGCAAGCTTAGCAGGAATATACTGTTGTATTATGCTGCCAAGGGTGGCATTTATTATACTGTTTCCTCTCCATCATTTTCCTATTCAACTTGCTGCCATTGTCTGCAGTTACTGTTGGCAAGAAGGCTATCTGTAACAAGGGCCACTGCTAGATAAGAGTGCACTTATCAGCCACTTTACCAACAATTCTCCCAATTCACCTCTCAGACTGGTTTGCATTATGAATATGATCTGCAATTCACAAATATTCCCACAATTTAGTATGTATATACATTACGTTGCCAAAAGTATTGGGACGCCTGCCCTTACACGAACATGAACTTTAATGGCATCCCAGTCTTAGTCTGTAGGGTTCAATATTGAGTTGACCCACCCTTTACAGCTACACCAGCTTCAGCTCTTTTGGGAAGGCTGTCCACAAGGTTTAGGAGTGTGTCCATGGGAATGTTTGACCATTATTCCAGAAGAGCTTTTGTAAGGTCTCAGTCTCCTCTCTAATTAATCCCAAAGGTGTTCTATCGGGTTGAGGTCAGTTCCCCCACCCCAAACTCACTCATCTATGTCTTTATGGACCTTGCTTTGTGCACTGGTGCTCATTCATGTTGGAACAGGAAGGGGCCTTCCCCAAACTATTCCCACAAAGTTGGGATCATGAAATTGTCCAAAATGTCTTGGTATGCTGACATCTTAAGAGTTTCCTTCACTGGAACTAAGGAGCCAAGCTGAACCCCTGAAAAACAACCCCACGCCATAATCCCCCCTCCACCAAACTTTACACTTGGCACAATGTAGGCAGGCAAGTACCTTTCTCCTGGCAACCGCCAAACCCAGACATGTCCATCAGATTGCCAGACAGGGAAGTGTGATTTGTCACTCCGGAGAACATGTCTCCACTGCTCTAGAGTCCAGTGGCGGCGTGCTTTACACCATTGCATCTGACGCTTTGCATTGCACTTGGCGATGTAAGGCTTGGATGCAGCTGCTTGACCATAGAAACGGATTCCATGAAGCTCTCTACAGACTGTTGTTGTGTTAATCTGAAGGGCACATGAAGTTTGGAGGTCTTTATCTATTGATTCTGCAGATACTTGGCGACTTCTGCACACTGTGCACTTCGACATGTGCTGACCCCGCTCTGTCATTTTGTCTACCACTTCGTGGCTAAGTTGCTGTTGTTCTCAGTTGCTTCCATTTTGTTATAATACCACTAACAGTTGACCGTGGAATATTTAGTAGCAAGGAAATTTCACAGATGGATTTATTGCACAGCTGGCAACCTATCACAGTACCATGCTTGAATCCACTGAGCTCCTGAGAGCGACCCATTCTTTCACAATGGTTGTAGAAGAAGTCTGCATGCCTAGGTGCTTGATTTTATACACCTGTGGCCATGAAGGTAATTGGAACACCTGAATCTAATTATCTGGAGGGGTGTCCCAATACTTTTGGCAATATAGTGTGTATATATATATATATATATATATTATATATACACAGCAGGTAAAATAAGAATTGAACATGTTACCATTTTTCTCAGTCAATATATTTCTAATGGTGCTATTGACATGAAAATTTCACCACATGTTGATAGCAACCCATGCAATACATACATACAAAGAAATCAAAACAATTAGGTTTAGAAATTAAGTTATGTGTAATAAAATGGAATGACACAGGGAAAAAGTATTGAACACACTAACTAAAATTTATTTAACACTTTTTACAAAATACTTTGTTGGTAATGACAGCTTCAAGACACCTGTATGCTGAAATTAGTTACATGCATTTCTCAGGTGTGATTTTGGCCCATTCATCCACACAGTCATCAAAACTTGAAGGTTCCATAGGCCTCTTCTATGAACTCTGATCTTTAGTTCTTCCCATAGATTTTCTATTGTATTCAAGTCAGGTGATTGGCTGGGCCATTCTAGCATCTTTATTTTCTTTCCTTGAAACCAATTGAGAGTTTCTTTGGCTTTGTGTTTGGGATCATTGTCTTGCTGAAATGTCCACCCTCATTTTGTCTTCATCATCCTAGTAGATGGCAGCAGCAGATTTTTATCAAGAATGTCTTGGCACATTTTTCCATTCATCCTTCCCTCAAAGATATGAAGTTTACCAGTACCATATGCTGAAAAACAGCCCCACACCATGATGTTCCCACCTCCAAACTTCACTGTTGGTATGGTGTTTTTGGGGTGATGTGCAGTGCCATTTCACCTCCAAACATGGGTGTGTATTATGGCTTCCAAAGAGTTAAATTTTGGTCTCATATTCTCCCAGTGTTTCACTGGCTTATCTAAATGTTGTACAACAAACTGTAAACAAGTTTCAACATGCTTTTTCTTTAGCAATGGAGTCTTGCGTGGTGAGTGTGCATACAGGTCATGGAGTTTGAGTGCATTGCTTATTGTTTTCTTTGAAACAATTGTACCTGCTAATTGCAGATCTTTCTGAAGCTCTCCACCAGTGGTCCTTGACTCTTGGACAACTCTTCTGATAATTCTTTTCACTCCCCTGTCAGAAATATTTTCTTGCGAAGAGCACCTGGTCGTAGCCGGTTTATGATGAAATTATGTTCTTTCCACTTCCGGATTATGGCCCAACAGTATTCACTGGAACATTCAGAAGTTTAGAAATCCTTCTGTAACCAATGCCATCAGTATGTTTTGCAACAATAAGGTTTCAAAGGTCTTGAGAGAGGTCTTTGCTTTTACCCATTATGGGTATAACACCTTGGTAATGAGACTCCTTTTTATAGGCCATCATTTGAAACTGAAACAGCTGATATTAATTTGCACTGACAAGAGGGAGGATTGCTTTCTAACTACTAATAGATTTCAGCTGGTGTCTTGGCTTTCCTTGCTTTTTTGCACCTCCCTTTCTCCATGTGTTCAATACTTTTTCCCTGTGTCATTAAATTTTATTACACATAACTTAATTTCTGAAATTACTTGTTGGGGTTTCTTTGTATGTATGGATTGCATGGGTTGTTACCGACCAGGGGCGGACTGGCAACTCATGGGGCCCCCGGGGAATAGGGGATCATAGGGCCCCTGTGTCTTTGCCCAAACTCAAAAACGCCTATGAAAAAGTTAACAGGGGCATCTCATGGGGCCGCCTAATGACCCCAGGCCCTCGGGCCATGCCCGAGTTTCCAAATGGTCAGTCCGCCCCTGTTACCGACATGTGATGAAAATTTCATGTCAATAGCACCTTTAGAAATATACTTACTGAGAAAAATAGCGGTGTGTTCAATACTTATTTTACCCGATATATAAATATATATATATATATATATACATACAGTTCTCAGCATAAATGAGTACACCCCTTTTGAACAATAAGATTTTAAGCAATATCTCAATGAACACAAGAATGACTTCCAAAATTTTGAAAAAACTGAACCTTATAGAGCATTTGTTTAGCTCATTACATGAAAGTAAGGTTAATAATATAACTTAGAATACAAAATCTTCAGTTTTACTAAAATTTAGTTGATGCAAAAATGAATACACCCCACAACAAAAAAACTACTACTTCTAGTATTTCGTATGACCTCCATGATTTGTAAGGACAGCATCAAGTCTTCTAGGCATGGAATAAACAAGTTGATGACATATTGCAACATCTATCTTTTTTCATTCTTCAAGAACGACCTCTTTTAGAGCCTGCATCTTGGATGGAGAGTGATGCTCAACTTGTCTCTTCAGAATTCCCAATAGGTGTTTGATTGGGTTCAGATCAGGAGACATACTTGGCCATTGAATCACTTTAACCCTGTTCTTCAGAAATGCAACAGTGGCCTTAGATGTATATTTTGGATCATTGACATGTTGAAAAAGTGCACGACGACCAAGGGCACGAAGTGATGGTAACATCTTCTCTTTCATATATAGAGCAGTACATCTCTGAATTCAATACCATCAATAAAATACAGCTCCTCAACACCAGCAGCACTCATGCAGCCCCACAGAAGGATACTGCCACCACCTATGTTTCACTGTAGGAACTATGCATTTTGCTTTGTATGCCTCACCTTTGAGACGCTATAAAGTTTTAAAAGCCATCAGTTCCAAAAACATTTATCTTGGTCTCATCACTCCAGATTACAGAGTCCCAGTAGTCTTCTTATTTTTCAGCATGGGCCCTGGCAGTTTCTAGGTGGGCTTTTTTGTGCTTTTTTGTGCTTTAGGAGAGGCTTCCTTCGTGGATGACACCCATGCATGCCATTCCTCTGCCGTGTCCGCCATATTGTGTCACAGGTAACAATACTCCCAGTTTGGCTTTCTTCTTCTATATCTGACTGCAGTGAACTTGCATGGTGATTTTCTTCTACCCTTCTCATCAGAAGACTCTCCTGTGGAGGTGTTAACTTCCATGGACTGCCTAGACGTTTCTGTGAGAATTTTTTGTGTCACTTTTGCTACAGTATTCTGACTGATAAGTAAATCTTTGCTGATCTTCTTGTAGCCTTCACCTTTCTTGTATAAAGAAATTATTTTCTTTCTCAGGCCTTGTGACATTTTTCTTCCATGTGATGCCGTTGCTGACAGCATGAAATGGGAAGGGTTTTCTTTATTAAGTAATGCCCTTTTATAATCAACTGTCTGCTGAACACCTGTTTAATGAATAATTAGACTCACCCATAATTGAATTCTTGTTAATTCGGTTTTGGTTTTCTAAAATGTAGCTTTGCTCCTAAGACTTTCATTGGGGTGTATTCATTTTTGCAACATGGTCTTGAATGAATTTGCTGGGAAAAATACTCTTTGTGTGTGTGCAAATTAACAAATCTTGTTTGCAATCAATGGCCCGCATTTGTGGGAGTATTTTATACAAATGTATAAGTATAGTGTCTCGCATAAAATGCTGATTCTAAAAGAAAAGTAAAGGTTTTCTGACAAATCTCTTTTCTGTACTCATTTATGCTGAGCACTGTGTGTATATATGTATATATATATATATATATATATACAGTATAAGTTATGTCTATATTCTGACCAAAATACTATGTTTCAAGCTGACAATATTTTGTGAAAAGAGTATTTTGTTTGACAATTTCTTTTCCTGAAGGCTTCCCGAATCTGGAAAAAAATTCCACTGTGTGCAGCAAGCAGTAATGACGGCTGCTGTAGCTCCTGGTGCTGTGGACATAGGTAACAGAAGTGGTAGCTTAGAGAGCAAAGTGTTCTTTATTCTCAGAACCTGCCTAAATCTGGGGCCACCGTTTGTCCTGGTAACACCTCCTTCTCTTCATCCTCAACTTACATAAAATTAAAGCAGTATTAAACCCTAAAACAAACATTTAATACATTGCAGTTTACCAATTCTTAGATATATTTCTTTTTTGGCAATTTTTATCCTTTATTTCCACCTGATGATCTGTTGTCCAGACCAAGCTGTCCAGACAAAGAGGCAGTTAGAGGGTTGAATCAAAATTGGTAAAAAATTTGCCACAAATGCAAAAAATAAATAAAATAAACCAGAAATTACAAATAAGGTTCGATGTATCAGTAAGTCCCATTTAAATGATAATTGCTTGAAAACCAAAAGATAGGTGAACATGTGCTGGTGCCATTAGTAACAGAAAAAATAGGTGACCACTTCCAGGTGCTCCAGGTGACCCCACATGGATTTGCACTCACCACAATGGATGAACCTTCTATTACTAGACAGATTTCACTGCATTTTTTTTGGTTGGACCCACTGGGTGTCTTGTCCCCAACTTGACCATCATATGTACCAGGAATGCGATTCCTTCCCATGCAACACACCACCACCACTCGAAAAACAGTATCAGGGAAAAGGTTAATTGTGCAAAACAGCCGACATTATTAAATCATATAAAACCTGAAAATAACTGCACACTCACATGTATATGTGCCTAAGCACCAGGTACAGCGCTTGTGGTTAAGATGGCTGCCGCTGTCCCGAGACCACAAAAACTGCCTTGCACTCCAGGGATGGGATGGGATGTATCAGTTGGGGAACACTGCTTCAACTAGTTTTGTCTGTAATTGGAAATCTTCAGGAAGCAAATTGCCACATGTGGCAAATTGTTTAGTAATTTTGATTCACATTTTTTGGCAGCGTGGTCTATATACACTTTTATAGGACTCACTAATGTGGAAGTTAGACACATTTGAAGACTGCATGAGCCATAATAACATTCATCCATGGTTCCTTATTTTTGGTCTCTTTTGGTTTTGCCTGTGACGTAGAGTTTTCATTGTTATTAGTTAGAGGGTTGAGACAAACCATTTAGCACTGAGGTGCTTACAATAGTCAGCTTTTATTAATCTATGTAAAACTTTTATCCAAAAGGGAGAAAAACAGTTTGCAGCAACTGCTTATGTAACACCCTCATAGA